TAATAATAATAATAATAATAATAATAATAATAATAATAATAATAATAATAATAATAATAATAATATCAACAAATTAATATTTATATTTACATGTGTGGATTTTAAAAAACGTCTGTACAAGCAGAAAATGCAAATGTTTCTGGACATTTTCCCACTAAAACTAGTCTTCCAGTCATTCTTTAACAAATTCACCATGTTAATTTATTGTTTAATATTATAGATCTGTTTCTATATGTTCTGGAATCTTCCCCTTTAGAACAGATTTTTATTGTAATTTTGCCTAAGAAGAAAGTTCACAACTCAATTCTCTTAAAAGCTAAATTCAAGCAATCCTGGCTGTCTGCACTGTTCTTATAAACCTAAGAGCTTGCTTCTAGAGTTCTGGTAAGTGGAACCATTCCAGGCTAGCTGCATTGCTTCCAAGATGCAAACATAATAGATTCCTGAATTTGGCACATCTCCAAGTAAATGAAAACAAGATCCTACTGTTTAAAGACAAATACTGAAGAGCATTTCATCTTTGAAAGGAAAGGAAGTTTCAATGGAAAAGAAAACCATACTCAAGTCCAGATGTGAGTTACAGTAAAACATCAATCAAGCACAGATATTGAAATGCTATTTTGTACAAGATATAATGCTGTCTGTGGCCTTGGATAATATTCACATTAAGAAAACAGGACGCGGGCTAACATTTTGTAAGAGGAAATGCTGTTTGGGAGACAAAGGAAAGGAAGTCAAAGTGTACAGTACACTTACTAATAATTGCAAATGTATATGCTGAGCAATATTACCTAATTAAGCAATTAATAAGTAAATCATGTTCATCGGAATTGTTGTAATAGAATGTGAGGATAATTAAGAATAATCTGTTACATTTAGACATGGATCCTTCTTCTGCAAGTTATTGCAATAGATGCAATAATCTTTAAGAAAACATATTTCATTCATTAAGTACAATTCAGAACAGATATCTGAATTTTAAGGCAAAAATTACTGTATTAATGTATCTTCTCTGCAGCTTATTAAACCAAAGTTGCATTAACAGCTAAATTATCTTGTAACTCATAATTCTTTCCCATTAATTTCTTTTTTAAGTGTAATTATACTGACCTTTGATAAAGATGCATTTCTGATTACAATTACATGTCTGCTCCACTTTAAAGAGCATCTCCACAAGACTTTCATCATAGATTGATTTTATATGAATCATTAAAGTAGCTGAAATTTCTGAGGCAGTTTCAAAAACTGCATGCTTAGTTTAATTGAGATACTTTTTTCAAATCCTTTGCAAAGTCATAAGAAAAAGTGAGCCATGACTTAAGATGTTGTGGTGGACAATGGCAAACTTTTTGAGGGATTTTTTTAAATAGGCTGGTTCATTCTGAGCTGAAAGGAAATTTACATTTTTTTCTCCTACCATTAAAATATCCCTATGTCTATGAAAATTCATGCACCTTGTAGATTATATCATGGAAACTATGGAATGCTATTTCTTCTTTTTTCAACTGCCTTGAGAAATTTCTAAAAAGATAAAATGTTTTTCTAAAGACTGATTCAGCATACAACAAGGAATAGTCACTTCCTGAAAGCTGAACCTATAAACTTCTAAATAATGAATGAATTAATAAATAAATACTCCAGAAACATGTCCACAAGACAACAGTACAGAACAAAACTAACCTTGAAGTAAGACTAGGGAACTGCCAAACTTGAATAGCAAACATGCAGTGCATGCAAGGAAACCTAACAATCTTTCTGATTTGGATGATTTCTACAAGTAAAAGTGTGGGATTAAAAAGCAAGAGTAAAGACTATTACTGGCTACAGGAAATGTTTAGAAGCTGTAATTTCTTCCAAAGGAAATGTTACAAAGCGCTGACTGAAAGGTGTCTAAACTTTGGGCATCAGCCATTTTCACTAGTTTCTTATTTTGAACCTGTAAACAATTGAATGTAAGTAGTAAGAATGCATTTAAATTTGTGGAACAATGTTATGTATAGCTTTTTGCCATGCTGAGATTGTGTAAGGTTTTGATTCAAACATACAATTTGAAAAAGTTTTCATAGTATGCTAATGTTAACATTATTAAGTATACATGCTGTCTAGAGATAATTACTTTTATTGATACAAGGATATTCAATATAGTATGCTCTAAATTTAGTCAACATCTTCAATGGTTGCTGGAAAAATCTATAATCATACTTAGTAAGCTATTTCTAAGATAAAATGAGGGACCATACATTTATTATATCTGAAGATTTCAACTTATATTGAATGTTTGTATTCACAAACCAGCAAAGACTTATCAACCAGTGTTATACAGTTTTCAATTATTAGAAAAAATAACTATAATAAAAAGGAAATTGTTCTGGTTTTAATAATAGAAATTCATATTAAGTGCATTATTTTACTTACCCAATTTCTCTTCCATTACAACCTACACAAAGCTATTGATAATACATATTACAAGTCACATACATTGGAGTAATAAGAATTATTGGTGAGGGGAAGAGTGGGAATGTGTTTTTAAGGAACAATAATTATAGTACTGTAATAAAAATGTTTCAGGAAAAATGACAAAGAATGGAACAGCCCTAAGTCATATTGACATACATCAAATCAATCTTAAGGCCATGTTTGACAAATTGTCAATGGTGTAATTCTATATAGAATGAATTACATGCAGTGATGCATCCATCCTTGACCATTTTGAACTCTCAGTGGTTTTTAATATCATCAAACATGGTATCCTTTTGTACTGGCTTAGAAGACAAGAGTGGTGAGGACAGTGTGTACGTTCTTCTGTTCTAGGATTGTTTAGTGGTGGTAGGCTAAATCAAGCCCTGGGGCTCCTATTTTACACGATTTTGTGGGGTTCTATCCTCTCCTCATTCTTATTTAACATATAAATGAAAACACCTGTCATCATGGGTATTATTGGTGCACTGATAATATTTACCTGTACATCTCTACTTCTCAATGACCATCTTTGCCCCCTCACTGATCAAGTGATGTTGTCAAGGTTCTTTATCAGTGTCTGCATATTGTGGGTGGCGAGAACAGGCTTTAATCTAATCCTAGAAAGACCAAGTTAATAGGGTTTTTAAGGACCCTGGTCCTGAGGCCTTTCCTTTTTTAGTTCTGGATAGAATGATACTTTCCCAGACAGTGCTACAATGCAGTTGAGGGAGTCCTCTGGGCTTTTGGATTCTGTGAGACAGGTGGCAATTATGATCATGAATCCTAACTTCACCCTGCATACAACAGGACCCATTCCTGGAGGGGGAGGATCTGCTTATGCTTTAGTCATCTCATTATGGACTACTGCAACACGTTCTACAAGGACTGCCCTTAAAGACAACTCAGAAGTTGCAACTGGCTCAGAATACATTTGTGTGGGAAGATATGAGTATACTTTTGTACTCCTAGGGTATAACACTACTTTGCAAACTGGTTTCTACTAAGTGGACATGCACCTGGTCCTTCTATTAAACAATGCCATCTAATGGAAGACTGATTTTTCTATTACAATAACTGCCTTATAGAACAACTTAACTATCAAAATCCAGATGGGTCAAATCCTCTTTATCTTTCAAAAGGCACTGACAATAGGGATGCTGTGAGCATTGGGTTAGGGCATTGAGCAAATCATTTTTTTAAAAAAAAAATATATTTTATGAAGGGGGATGTTAGTTTTCATTTGTTATTTGTCTCGGTGGTGTTTGCTTTTTTTTTAGAAATAGATCCTTTTGTTGTGGTTTTAAAATCTGTTTTAAGTTACACAAAATCATATTGAATTGAGCAGCTATATAAATTGAATAATAAATAAAGTGCTGTATAGTTTGTAAGCAGGAATAGAAAAATAGGCCAAGAGGCTAGAAAAGATCAATTTATATTCCAATACCAAAAAGAATGATCAAACTATCAAATATTTTTTGATATATTGTTTTATTTTTATTTTTTATTTGTGAACTGTCTGGAGGTACCAGTTGGGTAGCCTCAAAACTGAAATAAGCAATTGAATAAATGAAATAAATTTCATAAGAAGCAGAGGCATCTAATATAACATGGCTTTCTTCTGATGGATGTTGAAAAAGGCAAGGGAATTTCAGAAAGATGTGTACTTGGGATTCTGAATAGCTTTTAAGAAATGGGTGGATCAACCACCTCTTCTGCCCTCTAAAGAATGTGTATGGTGGCCAAGAAGCAAGAGTTGGAACAGAAGATGGAAATGTGAAAAATGACCTGAGAAAAAGTGCAACGTTGGTCGATGATGGAGGATCTCAATCCCCTAGCCAAGCTCTTCCCCTTCTGTAACTCGTGGCCATAGTAGCTTTGAGGCATATGACCAGAGAATGAGGCATCAGGAAAAATAAATCTTGAAATTTAAAAATCAGTTTTATAAAAATAAGAAACAAAGAAGCAAGTTTAGTTTAACTTGGATAGTTAATTTCCAAAACCTTTGAAATGGAATGGAATAAAGTATTTATCTCCGGTAAAAATAATAAAAAAAATCCACAACTTTTCACTGCCCTTGCTTCCCTTTTCTCCTACCATACAAATGAATCGATGCAGAATAACTAAGAATAATTGCATCTTAAGAGCTTCTACAATTATTAAGAATTTAGCTTTTATATGCAATAAATTCACTATTTAAAAATTGCAAATAAACTTAACTTTATATTATTATCAGTAGTAATTTTTCTTACCTGTTTTCCATCCAATGTGCAAATTCTCTTGACAATGCCTGAATCTAACTTAATAGCTTCTGTTATATCAGTCAACACTTGGTCAAAGGAATGAGCAGTTTTTTTATTCAACAAAATTCTCACAGCTTTTCGTGGCTTCACTCCACTGCGTATAACAGTTACCAGTTTAGGTTTAATGAAGTCTTTGCTCTCCTTTATTTCACTTTTTGCAGATATTAAGGACGTGAAGGATCGAGATGACCCAGATTTTATGTTGACAGACCAATTTGGATTAACATTCTTAATGTAATCAACTTTCCGAAATGGCTCATTGGAAGCGCATACATAACTTTCACCTAGGGTGGAGGAAAAAAAGAGAAATAAAGATGTTATTTCTGTTGTTCTCACTTGATATGCTTTCAATAATCAATTATTTATATGTTTGTATATGTCATTGGAGTATCTGCAAATGCTTAATTTTTGAAATAGATAAAGAAAAGTATTACTAAAACTATGGCATTCAAGAAAAACCTTATAGGTTAAGTTAGTAATATCAAGCCCAGCATTTTTTCTTAGAATAATAAATATATATCATTAGGAAGGTGACAAAGAGAGCATTAAGGAAAGAGATCTTGCATTTTGTTAAAGCCAGGAACTAATATTCAATAGCCTGCTGCCTTTTATATTGGGCTATTAGTCCTAAGAACTAAAATTTACATGACATTCATACTTGAAACAAAAACAATGCAATGGTTTCTCCAGTTCTATGGATATGGCAGGCACTGCTGTTAAATATTCAAGAAATTATTTCCTATTTATGAATACTCTTAATGTTTTCCATGTCAATCCTAGCAATTTCAGACATACATATACCCTCACAATAATGAACCTGAATATAGAGGTTTCATTCTCCATTATGTTCCCTCCAGTAAAACCACATAGAAAACAGTTTGGAACCAGACTTATTAGGATTCCAAAAGGCCATAGGAGCTTGCTTTTCCATAGGGCATAAGTAGCACCTTGTACTGGTGTTCATAACTAATTATGTAGCTGGAATACAAGACACTCACACTTTCTTACGATCGGAATGGTATATGCATCTTTTTAAAACAAACAAATGACATTCAGTTTTAACAAACAGCACAGACCTATAAATTCTACTTTATTAAAGTAGCTAGTAATTAGCCAGCATTTTGTAAAAGAAGAGGCAGAATTTATTAGCAAAATTCCTAGCCATGACAGCCAATCAAAATAATACAGAAGTGCTGGATTTACAGTTCTGGCTAGTAAGTTCCTTCCATTCAAAGGAATCTAAAGCAGGGGTCCCCAACCCCCAGTCCGTGGACCGGCACCGGGCCGCAGCATGCCAGCAACTGGGCTGCGCAAACAAGCAAAGCCCCATCCGTGGGATGCGGGCAGCACACAAAACTATGCCCCCTCTGGTCCGCAGAAAAATATTTCTCTATGGAACCGGTCCCTGGTGCCCAAAAGGTTGGGGGGCCTCTGATCTAAAGGATGAATTAGGAATATAGAATCAGTATAATAATGTAAGGATATTACTGTAAGTTATCTAGATAAATACATTAATATAAACCAAAAGTGCTTCAATTGTATGCCATTATTCTGGGAGGGCAGCCACTTGGGATAAAAGTTGCAAAAATGAAACACTATCAAAATTCTCTCTGCCTTGCCCTATAAATGACACTGTCAATGTCACTTCCTCTAAGCCCTATCAGAGCACTGGAAGTAATCCATTGTCAAGGACAATGCGGCACTAATTTGGAGCTTGAAGAATAGGTCAGCGGCCTGGTCTTTTACTCAACTGGAAACAACCATTTTTTTTCTTTTGGTATTTAACCATATCATTGCATTATATTCAATCAACATAAGCAATACTACAGGCTGTTTCTTAATGAAACTGATACTTCACTCCTTATTCAAGGCCCATCCAACTCCTCATCTGATTCTCATTTCCCCAATATTTTCAAAGGAGATTTCAAATTACATATGTTTGTTATAGACCTCCTCGATAGCCCAAAGAGGAATTGGGTGTAATTTTTCTTCCACAGCACAGCACTTTTTTTTAAATAAGAGAATTTATGCAGACAGAACATACTACATGGATATGGAAGGAAACCTGACAGTGGCCAGCATGAGCTCTTCCTTCCTTTGTTTTTTCCCCCAGGATCTTAAGGCAGTCAGAAAAGCATCGCACCACACCTGGTATCCAATTATAAAAGGAAAATGCCGAAAGCACCAGATTGTCTCTGCGTAGGCATGTTTGGAGAAAGATTTGTGTTGTGCGAGAGAACAGAAAGAAAGGGACAAGATGTAGCCAACAGAGTGAAACAGCTGTCAGCTCAACAGGCAACTGACAGTAAAGGAGGAGAAAGCTTAAAGTTCAGCAAACTAGCAGCATACAAGGTGAAGCGAAAAGTGGAGCCCAACAGCTTTATCACTCCAGCAGCTGGTACAGCATTTTCCTTTTTCTCACCTCTGCACAGGCTGAGAAACTGCCAAGCCAATGTTCAGCCGCGGTTTAGAACAGCAGGCGACAGCAACAAAGGTCAACTAGAATGTGGTTAAATGATGGCTATATTCGTATACATTCAATCAACAGAATTGTTATAGATTATTTATAGGAATAAGACACAGACATAGCTGTTGGTATAAATATAGGATAATATAGCGTAGGCCAGGGGTAGGCACCCTTGGCTCTTTTATGACTCGTGGACTTCAACTCCCAGAATTCCTGAGCCAGCACAGCTGGCTCAGGAATTCTGGGAGTTGAAGTCCACGAGTCATAAAAGAGCCAAGGTTGCCTACCCCTGGCATAGGCTTAATAACAAGTGGTAAGGTAAAAGTTAGGACAATAAGTTTGTTAAATTTTCTGTAATAAAAGTCTCCCTGGAAACACAGAAGATAAAAACAGCCTGTTTGTCGCTGGCCTGTACCGTTTCCCAAAAATATTCCCTCACATTTAGGGACAGTGTTGAGACGGTACAGCACCCAAGCAAATTACAAACCAATCTTTAATGAAAATAAAAACAGAACGAGGAAAATGGAGTTTGGTCCTAGAAGAGTTGGAGCTCTGCAAAACAGGGTCACTCTTTTCAGTACCACCCTCTAGATACATATTCACAGATTAGAGGTTGTGCAAGGAGGCTGAAAATGGAGGAAAAGGAAGAATTGGTTGGGATTAAGGCAGACCCTAAAATCTAAGTACCGCTGCAAAATAAAGTAATTTCACCTGATGCCTGGCTACAGATGAGGAGACATATGATTAAGCAGCAAGAGGAGAAAAGAAAAAGAATAGTCAGAAGGGAAAAGGATTAAATTGTGGAGAGAATCTGAATGCAGGGACTGACTGGAAAGAGAGATGAAAGAAGGAAGGAACTCCAGGACACGGAAGGAGCTTGTTTCAGGGAAACTCAAACCCTCCTGTCCTCCCCCACACAGAAACATTCAACTTTGCCTAGTGCAAATAAAGGACTTAAAAATCTGAGGATCTTAAAACTTTCATAGGATGAATATAGAATCATTCTTTGTAATGTTTGAATATATTGCAGTTCCTTGGAAATGGCCTAAGGAAGAGTAGATAATTTGGCTAGTTCTATGTTTAACAGGAAAAGCTTTAGTAGCACAAACATGGCTCCCTTCAGAAGTCTTTGACTATAATTGAGTAAAGAAGGCTGTATTGTATAGATATGAAGTAGATACACACACACGTGTGCACGCACACACACACACACACACACACACACAGAGAGAGAGAGAGAGAGAGAGAGAGAGAGAGAGAGAGAGAGAGAGAGATGGACCCCTACTGATAAATGTTTGGGCAATATTCTCAATTCACATTAAGGAGAGAATTATGAATAAGATTAGAGGATTTAGGACGGAAGTGGTTAAAACCAGAAATACATGATAAGAAGCTTGGATGAAATTGTGTTACAATATTTTATCTAATTTTGCCATCTTCTGTTTCTGAAAGCTGCATTCTTTGCAAAAGATTACTTAGCATCATTGAAATCTAAAAAGGTCAGAAAAGGGTTAGAAATTGGAAAAGGACCAAGGAGTTGTCAAGTGTTGACTGGCAAAGTAACACTGAAAGGAAAGGCAGATATATATAAAAAAGATGGCATAGGGAAATATTCCTGATCAGGAGGCATAAAATGCATATGCTTCCAACACATTCAGCATTACGGGGATAATGGGCTTTCAAAGATAGGCAAATGTTTGCATAAGGCTGATAAAAGTAGAATACATTGAATAAATAGAGAATTTAACTCTGCCTTGGCATTTAAATAGAGGACAGGAGCAACAAAAAGATTTCTCACTAAAAGGAGTTCGGAAACAGCAAAAGAAGGAAATAAGGATTGGGAGAACGTGAGTCACAAAGATAAGTTATTAAAATTAATCCTAAAGTTACAAAGTATATATAAATAAAACTTTTCTGGTAGATAGTTAATGTTAAGTATGTTGATCAACTCTAAATCAAGATTTTTTTTCCTCTTCCCTCCTTTTATCCCTTGTAGAAGCAGGTTTCACACAGACTTTTGCAAATAAATGTGAGTCAATCTGAAATAATTTGCATGTTTATTAACTCACACTCCTACACACAGACTAAACCCCATTTATTTTAGTTACTCAAGTCTATCTGAACTGTACTGTCAATTTTCTTTCAAAGCAGGTAAATATGTCAACTACAGAGAAATGTGGTACAAGGTTTGTGCTAGCAAATCAAATTTTGACTCATCCATAAAGCTTAATGTTCTATTATAAGGGTTAGGTGGAGATAGAAATAATTTGCATTGTCTTACACTCCTAAGAAGGTGGATTATGATTTCAAAATAATGGATATTAATTCTTTAAAATAAATTATGCAGCTGAAACAGTTACTCCCTAGAGTAAATTTAAGTTCAGCCCCTCAGTTTAGTTTCTTCTGTGTCATAACCTTGAAGCAGAATTAGCAAGCTTTAAAATTTCATCTATAATAATAATAATAATAATAATAAATTTAATTTATATGCCGCCCTTCTCCCAACGGGACTCAGGGCGGCGCACAACATATTTAAAACAAAACATAAATACATTCCCCCCCGATAAAACCGAATTAAATCAAATTTTAAAGTTGTGTCTCTGTCAAATTGTTAAAAGATAAACCCCAAATAAAATCCTCCCTAGGTC